TTTCATGAAATATACAGTGGAAGTTATAGCCATATATGCCTGGTGCATGAAGTTCATGTCCCTCAGCCTGGCCTGTACCCTCTCCAATCTGAGACCCCTCAGAGGATAACCAGCAATTGGATGTCCCTCTCACAATCCAAAAATGCTGGTTCCTAATTGCTTGCCTGCTTGCCTGATTGTCCCTAACTGCTCCCCTGCTGGCTTGATTGCCCCTCTCTCTGCTTCAGCTCTACATCTGGGACCCAGGATTCCCTCCTTCAGCTGACCATAGGCACTGGGATCCGGGCTTCCCTCCCTCTGGTCAGCCATAGGTGCCCAGGCCAGCTGCAGTTACAGGGAATGGTGGGCTGGTGGCTGTCTGGGCTGCAGGCGCAAGTGCTGGTGCCCAGGATCATGGGGGGGTGGCTTCTCTCTCCTGGGCCACAGCCAGCCACAGGAACTGGTGCCTGGGACTGTGGGGTGGGCGGCTTCTCCATCTACCAGGCTGTAGCCAGCCGCAGGTGCTGGTGCCTGGACCACAGGTGGATGGCTTCTCCATCTTCCCTGGGATGCAGTGTGGGCGACATCTCTGACTGGCTGCAGCCTGGGATCAGGGGGCAGGCGGCTTCTTCCAGGCCGCACCCAGCCTCAGGCGCTGGGGCCTGGTTTCTCTGTCTCCCCCAGGACATGGGGCAGGTGGATGTGAGGCCTCTGCTGCTGGTTGCAGCCTGGGATCTCGGGGCAGGTGGCTTCTTTGTCTCCCTGGCTTCAGCCAGCCTCAGGTGCTGGCACCCAACTTCTCTGACCGGAGCAGTTCCTGCTGCTGCCACCATGATTTCAGGTTAATTTGCATACCCACTCTGATTAGCTAGTAGCGTAGCGGAGTGATGATAATTTGCATGTTTCTCTTTTATTAGTGTAGATTATATACCTTTTGTCCAAGATACTTTTAAAAAATTTCCAACATTTCTAAGGTGGCAGAATCCTAATTTTGGACAACCAGGATAGATTTGCTGACATGCATATAGTGAATGGTTTTTAGTCCTGTGCTGAATCTATATTTTCCTCCAAAAACTTTGGTTCAGCAACATACATGACATTCTAGATGCCACCCAAGAGGTTGTATTAAAAGGATCTGAATAAGGAATACTTTATACCTATAGTCCCATGAACCAGGAATCCTTATAGTAGAAAATTGGAAATAAAAACTTTTAAAAAGAATTATTAGCTCTCCAATAGTACCCTATGTGCCCATTTTGTTATTGCAACTGCCCATGGCAATGTCATGCTTTGTCCTGGAAGGTTGGGCTAAACCAAACCGGATTAAACAATTTTCTACTGCAGGGGTAGAAGCTAGTTTTAATTTCCCCAAGATAATAAATATTTCAGGATCACTTGGGTCCCTACTGTCTCTCCAGCCCTCTGGCTCAATGAGAGGTAGGTTACACTGTCTAGGCCTTCACATGCACAAAGATCTAAAAAGAAGAACCCAGACCATACCTCTACTTTTCCACTTTTCCACTAAATTTGCTCAATCAGAAACACAACCTTTTGGGAGCAATTAATCCACATCAATCAAAAGTATGTCATGCATTGATATATCCTTTGGTTAGATTGGAACCATGGGTTGTTGTTTAATACTTTTTAAATTATATGCAACTTGGAAACCAAAAGAATGTGATTTTATTGCCTTGGTCTAACACTGAACTTATACCTCAGGGGTATACCTTGGCATATCCATAAACCCTCTGTCTCAGTCTGCAGCTTTAACTTTTCATTCATTGTATGTTTAGGCTGTAATTTTGTGCTTAATCTCTGTTGTGTATGAAGTTCTCATTCATTCATTACAATATCATGCAACAATCCTATATTACAATATCATGCAACAATCCTATATAATAAAAGTAATAAAAGTAATATGCAAATTGACCGCCACTCTAACAAGATGGCCACCCCCATGTGGACACAATATGGTCACCACAAGATGGCCAGCAGTGGAGGGCAGCTGTGGGTGATCAGGCCAGCAGGGGAGGACAGTTGGGGAGGACCAGGCCTGCAAGGGAGGGCAGTTGGGGGGGGGTGACCAGTCATCCCCGACTGCCCCCACTGCTGGCTGGATTCCCCACAACTGCCCTCCCCTGCCAGCCTGGTCACCCCTAATTGCCCTCCCCTGCTGGCTGGGCCCACCCTCCCCCAACTGCCCTCCCCTGTAGGTTGATCATCCACAACTGCCCTCCCTGCTGGCCATCTTGTGGTGACCATATTGTGTCCACATGGGGGTGGCCATCTTGAGTTGGAGTGATGGTCAATTTGCATATTACTTTTATTATATAGGATTGTAATTAATGAGAACTTCACATACAACAGAGATTAAGCACAAAATTACAGCCTAGTCATACAATGAATGAAAAGTTAAAGCTGCAGAATGAGACAGTATCAAGTTTAAAACATGCACAATACTGAAGAGAGGGTTTACCCCTGAGGTATAAGTTCAGTGTTAGACCAAGGCAATAAAATCACATTCTTTTGGTTTCCAAGTTGCATATAAGAGTTATGTTTACATTATACTGTAATCTATTAAGTACAATAGCATTATGTCTGAAAACACACACAATGTACATAATTAGAAGCATTGCTGAAAAATAACCACCATCTGAGCCTTCAGTGAATTGTAATCATTTTGCTGGTGGAGGGTCTTGCCTCACTGATGCCCACTGACTGACCAGGGTGGTGGTTGCTGAAGGTTGGGGTGGCTGTGGCAATTTCTTATAAGAACTGTGAAGCTTGACACATTGATGGACTCTTCCTTTCATAAATTCTCTATAGTACTGGATGCTGTTTGATGACATTTTACCTATAAAACTTCTTTCAAAATTGGAGCCAATCCTCTCAGTTCCTGCTGCTGCTTTATCAACTAGGCTTATGTAATATTCTAATTAATTTGTGGACATTTCAACAATATTCATAGCATCTTTGCCAGTAGTAGATGCCATCTTAAGACCACTTTCTTTGCTTATTCCTAGAAAGTAACTTATCTATTAGTTTTATCATGTGAGATTGCAATAATTGTCACATCTTCCAGTTCTCTTGCTAGTTCCACCACATCTGCAGTTACTTCCTCCAATGAAGTCTTCAACCCTCAAAGTCATCCATGAGGGTTGGAACCAACTTCTTCCAAACTCTTGTTTATGTTGCTATTTTGACCTCTTCACATGAGTCACGGGTGATCTTAATGGCATTTAGAGTGATGAATCTTTTCTAGGTTTTCAATGTACTTTGCCTAGATCCATTAGAGTAGGGGTGTCGAACTCAATCAGAGAATGGGCCAAAATCTAAAATCCAGCCTAAATCGCGGGCCGAATGGTTTACTGAACAGTCATAAACTGTCATTGTGATGGAAACGCAGCGGAGTGCAGTGATGACAGCGTGGTGCGGGCCACATTGCAAGGCCTGGCGGGACGGATTTGGCCCGCGGGCCTTGTGTTCGACACATGTGCATTAGAGGAATCACTATCTGAAATATTGTGAGAATTACCAAAATGTGACCTGAAGTGAGCAAACGCTGCTGATAGACTTGGTCGACACAGGGTTGCCACACAAACCTGTTTATAAAAAAAAAAAAAAAATGGAACCCATATCTGAGCAGCACAAGTGAGGTATAGCAGGTCCTTGAATAACCTAATTTTCTTCAACTTGATTTTGTTGTAATGTTGATGAGAAAGAAACAATTAATTCCCAGTTGAGACCACTGTCTGTGTGGAGTTGGTACTTTCTCCCCATGTCTGCGTCGGTGTGCAGGTGAGGTGAATGGCATGTTCACATTGTCCCAGTCCGAGTGCATGTACGTGTGAGTGTGGCAATTTCTTATAAGAACTGTGAAGCTTGACACATTGATGGACTCTTCCTGAGATGGGGGGGAGCTTGCTGTCCAGGGTGGGGGTCCCTCCTTGAGCCCTAAGCTGCAGAGATGCTATAGCCACCCATGACCCTGAACTGGGTTGGAGGAACATTATTATCTGATTTTTTTTTAAAAAATATATATTTTATTGATTTTGTACAGAGAAGAAGGAAGAGATAGAGAGTTAGAAACATCGATGAGAGAGAGTCATCAATCAGCTGCCTCTTGCACACCCCCTACTGGGGATGTGCCCGCAACCAAGGTACATGCCCTTGACCGGAATTGAACCCGGGACCCTTCAGTCCCCAAGCCGACGCTCTATCTATTGAGCCAAACCAGTCTTGGCTGATTTGTTTTTTATTAATCTTTCTTCAATGCATGTTTAGCTCACATTTATTTCAATGTTGAATCTTTAGTTTGGTGATGTTTTTGTGACCAGAAATATGCGGTAGGAACTTTGCTGTTGTTTCTATCAGTTAGCTTATGGGAAAGCTGGTTTGGTAATGTGTCCTTGTGCTTAAAGTTGCAGTTGTCAAGAGCCTATTGACATTAAGCAAGGACTTACTGTATACCCAGGGTAGTACAACACATAATGGGCAAGAGAGTGATAGACATCGAATTCTAGATGCTGCTTCCTCTGGAAGGGCAAGTGTCTGGCCAGATGTGAAGATCTGATCAAATAAGTGCCCAGAACTTGGACGTTCAGTACATAAATACCTAATTTTTAAAATATTGAAATAGTTTATAGCGCTAAGAACACACACACACACCCCTACTTAAGTACAGTAGTTTCAATGATGAGTTTCAGTGCTCATTGTGAGCTAGATAACATGCTAGGAACTGTGGATATGTAAGTTTGAACAAGGCACAGCTCCTGCCCTCAAGAAGATAACTAACAAAGGCCTTCTTGGGTTCTGATTAACTTTGTCACTGTGGCCAAGGAAATCTGTTCTTCAGGAAGTGGGCCTGAGACTCTTAAAAGTTAAGCCAAAGTTACTGAGCCAGCAGCAGACAAGGTTCATAAACTCACTATTGGCCTGCTTCCTCTATCTTTCCTTTAAAGAATAAAGATAGTGGGAAAAGAACCATGAACATAAATTTAGCATAGAACAGAGATAAACACTTATACAGAAATTACTTTTATTTTGTTAAAAAATTCCTTAATGAGCTAGTAATTATTCACAAGGATCATCCAGAAAACAGATTTATGACACTATTAGCCTTCCACTTGATTAGAGATATTAATTATACAGAAAACATTATTACATAGAGTAGGTTACCCAAAATCTAAGGGGCTGTGGACTTGTAAGAGCTTCTCCCAGCCTGCCTGGCTGCTCCAATCAGCTCACATGACTCAGTTCTAAGGATGGACATACTTTCTTTGTATTTAAAACTTCACAACAGTCCGGATGCTGTAAGAAAAACAATACATGTAGGTTTTGAATGGTATCTTTTCTTTTAAGAAGATTAAATTAATATATTTATCCTTTTTCCTCCATAAACTTCACATCACTCCTACATTCCATAATATACAACTAAAGGGACAGCTTACCTCTCCCCCGCATGCAGCAGTTCAAAGGCTTTGTTAATTTCACCAAAAGACAGATTGTGGGTCACAAATTCATCAACTTTTATCTTTTTGGACATATATTCAGACACCAACTTTGGGACACTTTCTACACTCTTCCATCCTAAAAGAAATCATACATTATTAATTTTTTTTTCAGCAAGTTTCTACAGTATGCTTATTACGTTGTGGGTTAAATAAAGACATTTAAGAGAATAAATGTTTTCATTACAGAGGAAGGAAAAACATCAAAATCAGCATAGAGAAAGAATTTAATGAACATCATTAATTAAGGAAAAAGTAAATGCCTTTCTAGTTCATTCCTCTTTCTATATTGATTTACTAAAATGTCATTAAGTTTCAATTGAGACTGTTAGACTACCCAGGATAGAACTCTGTAAGTCTTAGAATAAGCTTATTTTTTAAGTCCACAATAGCAGATTTCCATAATAATTAAATGCAAGGAAAAAAAATATTGATGTGCTACATGGCTCTTTGGTGTTAAATCAACAATGAATAGGGATAGCAACTCAGAATAGAAAACTGTGAAACTGAAAGCAACGTAGAAAATTAGATGCTTTAACTTTTCACTTGGTATTGAAAGAAGCAATAAATCAAAGCAGCCTTCCTACTTTTTAAAGCACAGATGGGTTGGATCATATTTCAAATCTCTTTTGAGCTTTTCCCCCCAAATCTCCCTCATTATATTCTCTACTAATTATTTTTCCCCCTACAAACTGAGACTTTTTCTTTCTCTTTTAAAACTGAGACATCTACAACTCTAGACCAAAACATCTATTTACATCTGTGGGTCATATTTTAGGACAGCGGTCACCAACCAGTGGTTTCAGAAGTCTGGCGACCGCTGTTTTAGGAACACCATTGGGCCCCAAATGCTCTTGCTTATTTCCCAATCAGCACTGTACTAGGATGAGGTTCAGTGAGAGGTTCCTACCACCTGTCCTGGCTCAGTCACCCAGGCTTAGAAGGCCTTTCAAATTCAGCTATGGATGCCAGAAACCGATCATTGTCACTAATAGAGAAATGTGAAAAGATAATCCAGAAATGTGAAAAGGGAATCCAGAAGGCTAGTCAACCTTAATTGCTCTGAATGGTCGGAGCTAATTACTCATTGTTTAGTTGAGACTTCATATGTAACTTCTTGCCGGTTGTCTATCATTGGAATTTCCTGCCTAAAATATATGGGTGTATCTGATAACCTTAATAAAAGGAATACCAAAGCCAGAGCAGTGGTAGTCCTCCCCCTAGAGGTGGACTCCCGCCTGGCCCCCCAATTTCCCAAATTAATTCTTTTCTAACCTCTCTCCCTCTCTCCATTTTGAGTGTGGCTTCTCCAGAACTTGAACCCCTGAACAGGAACCCTGAACCACGTGGGACGTGGAAGGGGTTCACACATATGGATCCTGAGAGGATGCCTCTGAGTTGCATGCGTAGCTTTAAGTCTGTTCTAAGATCCTCAAGTTCAGCATATTTCCAGGAAAGGAGAGTTCAGTCAGTGTGACATTTCTATAGCAAATTCTGTAGTATAAAGATGGAAAACTTTGGCCAAATTCTTCCTTTTAGCATATTTCCTGAATCTTTTCTTCTGACTTTTAAAAAAGCAGGCATAACACAAGGTAGAGGATGTTAACAGATACACAGATTATGCAAAACTCATGCTATATGATCTTATTCCTAAGAGGATTGTAAGAATATATTTCTTAAAAAGCCTGTTAACACTTAGGCAACCCTAACCAGTTAACTGCCATGCATCCAAAATGGAAACCATCCTTGCATCTTTAGACGCTTATGATGTACAAAGGGTTAACAACCATACACTTTTTAGAATCATACCTGGGAAAAATAACCCGTCTGGCAGCTTTTTAATTTTGTTATAGGGTTTTGTCTAATTTAACATTTTCCATTTAAGATTTAGTATTAGTTATGCTGAAATCAGTCCTCTTCAACCAGAGGTATGATTGACCACTGCACCCTCCAGAAAAATGAGCAAAATATGCCTGGAACTTATTAACTCCATAACATGACACAGTATGGATGACTGTCGTTTGCCTGCCCTACCCCAATGATGGCCTCATTAAGAGAATGTTAATTTCCTTCTTTTACTGAGTAAAATGTGGTTTTGAGCTTCATGAGAAAATACTGATTGCATGTGAAACTTTTCTATTAAGATAACTTTGTATATAACAACTCAGTATGAAAAGAAGCCCATGAAAATTGTTAAACCAAGAAAATTGGCCTGGAATTAAAACTCTGCAAATAGAAACGAGAGAGGAAACGTGCCATCCCATCCAACAATCACCTCCGAAGGCGGTGCCCTTCCACGTGCGTCCTGTGACGAGCTGGAAGGGCCGAGTGGCGATCTCTTCACCGGCACCAGCGACTCCCACCACCACGCTGACGCCCCAGCCTTTGTGGCAGGCCTCCAGCGCGGCTCTCTGCGGGCAGAGATGAACCAAATCACAGAAGTCAGTGCATTCTGCCGAGAATATCTGCTTCCCCAAAAACGCTGGGGGAGAGAGTGGTTTCACAAAGCTTTCCAAAAAATGGCAGCAAAATGGTCAAGTGGAATGCTTAGTGCATTTAATCTTATTGAACAATTTTACTTTCTTTAAGAAACTTACTAAGTTGGCTAAGTAGTGACACAAATGGGATGGATTTAAAGCTTTTACTTACTGTCCATTTTTAAAAGTAAATACCAACTCAAAATTCTAAAGACTTTAATAAAAGAAGTATGCAGAGAAGTAATTCTGATACTTTTGCTGAATGCCTACTTTGTATCAAAGTAGAGGCTTTACTGTCTGCCCTACCCCAATGATGGCCTCATTAAGAGAATGTTAATTTCCTTCTTTTACTGAGTAAAATGTATTTTACACAAGAGGAAACTGAGATTTAGAGACGTCATTGTTCAGGGTCACTGATTTAGCATGCGGGTGTTTATCTACTTTCACGCATGCTCTCTACAAAGGCACTATTCTGCCTCTTTACTTAAGCAGACATACTCTAAGATTCAGCATACATGGAAGGCAAAGAAAGATTTTTCTTCATCCTTCCGAGTCACTCATGTAATTTCCCATTTGTAGTTCAAATCATTATTTTTCCTTTCTTCTACTAGAATAATTCTTACTGAGACTTCTCCTTTATAAAAATAAAACAACTTTAAATCTTAAGAAAACTGCATTAAAAAAGCAGTTACAGCCCAGCGAGCATGGCTCAATGGTTGAGCACTGACTTATGAACCAGGTCACGATTTGATTCCTGGATGGGGCACATGCCCATTCGGGGGTGGCAGCAGGCAGTTGATCAATGATTCTCATAATTGATGTTTCTATCTCTCCCTTCCCCTTCCTCTCTGAAATAAGTAAAAATATATATTTTTCATAAAAGCAGCTAGTGAAAGAGAAAAGAGAGAGAGAGAGGGAGAGAGAGAAGGAGAAAAGAGAGAGAGAAATGAAGCCAACCAAGCATACTCACCATGACTTTCACATTACCAATACACTCAAAGGAATAGTCTACTCCCCCATCAGTCATCTCAACGAGCACTTCCTGGATGGGTTTACTGAAGTCCTGGGGGCTGATACATTCACAGGCTCCAAACTCCTTGGCCCTTGCAAATTTATTTTTATTGATATCCACACCAATGATCCGGGATGCACCAGCTACCTTGCAGCCCATGATAACCGCCAATCCAACTCCTCCAAGGCCAAAGATGGCACAAGTAGAGCCAGGCTCCACCTAACAGAAAGACAGCCTGTGAGGCACTGCTTCCACAAGAGTCAAGAAAGTCACTAGGTTTTTTACAGATCGGACCAATTTAATTATTTCAGCTTTGTTGTATCAAATTAGAAGGTGGAAGCTAAAAGCCAGGCCAACACTTACCTTGGCAGTGTTCACAGCAGCACCGTAGCCAGTGGAAATGCCACAACCCAGGAGGCAGACTTTATCCAAAGGTGCTGAAGGATCAATTTTAGCAACAGAGATGTCAGCCACAACTGTGTATTCAGAGAACGTACTGGTTCCCATGTAATGTAAAATTTTCTTTCCTTTGCAAGTAAATCTGCTAGTGCCATCTGGCATTAATCCTTTCCCTTGAGTGACTCTAAAAAAAACAGAAAAGGAAAAAGGCAGGATAGAATTAGGTTCCCTAAAACCTATAAGAAAAAGAATTATTAAAAAAACAACAACTAATAAATAGTTAGAAAAGTGTGCTAAGACAAAAAGTCCAATTCCTAATGTATGTATTAATCAGTTATCTTTCAACAATAGAGAAACTTGTAAGAGATTTATAATCTCATATGTTTTTCAACGTTCAGTATTTTTTTGGATCTTACTGTCAGAGTATTGAAATAATTTTTAACAGGTACAACTTATGGATCAGATAAAATTATTTTAAAATTCCATCATAACACTGTGAGCAAATGTAACTTCATAAAGCATAAAGCTAAACCCAGCATTTACACAAAGACCACATGCAATGAATAATCCATTCGGCTAAGGAAAACAGATGGCCAAACTGGCTAATTTAGACCTTTTAGCAGGCCTTTTCAGAAGTGTAACAATCCTCAAGGATTCAAGTTACTTTCTCTCTTCACTTAGTTTTCTGCCCATATAGTTGGTTACAATAATGGGGCTGGGGTGGGAGAGCAAACTTACAAAGGCAACTGATATAATACATGTTAGTAAAAATTAGTTTAGATATTCTAAATTTATAGGTGATATAGTGTCTCATTTAGGAGGATGAGCCCTAAAGTCAGGGACATACCTTGGTCTCAAATCCTGTGTAATGTTGGGCAAGTTAACCTATACTGGACTTTCAGTTTTCTCTCTAGAAAATACAGAGAACAGCCCTAACTGGTTTGGCTCAGTGGATAGAGCATCGGCCTGCAGACTGAAGGGTCCCAGGTTCAATTCCAGTCAAGGGTATATATACCTTGGTCTTGGTTGTGGGCACATTCCCAGTAGAGAGTGTACAGGAGGCAGCTGATTGATGTTTCTCTCTCATAGATGTTTCTAACTATTCCTCTCCCTTCCTCTCTGTAAAAATCAATAACATATATTTAAAAAAAAAAGAAAACACAGAGAATAAATCTTTCTCATAGAAAAAAAGAAAAGAAAAATATCAAATGAGATGTTATGTAACGCATTAGCAGAGTGCTTAATAAATATGTTATTTGTTAATAAAAATAAACACTATAATTTTTAAAGCAGGGTAGTAAGAAGCTAGGGAAGCAGAATATGGGAATCTGAGAGAAGATAATTAAACAAGGCAAAACAATCTGAGTTATTTACAGCCAGCTAATGAATCACAAGGTTTTACCTTCCCTAACCAAGGGCACTTAGGAGTAAATTGTTTACACCAAGCATGTCAAACTTGCAGCAAGTCTGACATGCTTGGTTTACACACTCCAGACTGCCTTGGGGAAGCCTGGCCTCATCCCAGTCCCTCGTTGATGAAATAGTTTTAAAATTAAACTAACCAGAAAATTATCCCTGATCCCTCCATACGCACATTTTGATGAATCAACATATTGAAGGACACACTGGGAAAGCTAATGAGTATTCTGTTAAGACCCTCCTCTGAAACCTCCACTTGGATTTCCACTGCCTCAAAACAAAGAAGCAACAGTGCACTCTCACTATAGCATGCCTGTGCCTTGCATCTCTGCTTTTTCTAACCCACAAGAGTTGCAACCAGGGGAGCAGCGGGCAGTGGCATTTCATCTTGGGCTTACCCCTGAACCTGCCTCCAAGGCTCCCTTTTCTCTGACTTTCCAGTGAGCTAACAGCAGCCCCTCCCTGGCTCACTTCTTTTCCTGGGACTTCTATTTCTCAGAGAGCCAAAGCCGCTCTGCCTACTCTCTCTCCTGTTGCTTCTTCTACCTTTAACTCTTCCCTTTTTTCACTGTCACCAGTTTTAATTAATGTAATCTCAAAATCACCTGGAATCCTTTCATGAAATCTTTCCTGCCTGAAGAACTCACATGCTACCAGCCGGCTCAAGGCAGACCCGCTCTGGGCCCAGACCCCACCAGGTAACAGTTTGATGTACACTCTTAGACAAACCCTTTGGGATACATATGAATAAACAAATACATAGATGAAGAGAAATAGATTGCCTTTGGATTCAAGAGTAAATACAAGTTCTTTGAGAGAAAAATAAAAATATTACCAGAAACAAAGAGCAAAAAGATACTAACCTTATCTTCTGGCAAAGGTTTGTTTTAGGATTTAGACAGAATTTGCATTCTCCACATTGAGGGATGTAAAGTGGGATGACAGTATCACCTGGAAAATGAATGCAAAGACATTATCCTGGATACGTGGCATCTATTCCTAATGAATGTATCAGCCCCTGCAAATGCCTATTCCTGTTAGCTCATTCGGCTTTGAAAGCTAAGCTCTTTAAGGCTTAGAACTTCACCTACATAACATCATTTAGACGAAGCCTGACTACAAAAAATACAAGTTTCAAAATTTCAACTAAAGGAAACTTTTAAAAACAAGAACTGGAGAACAAGGAGTCATGTGCCTCAAACTACTGACTCACTGATGAATCTTTAAAATTTCTTGTTTAGAAACTGACTTCCGAAATGTTTTTAACAGTTTCAGATGAACAGCAGTCTGCAAACTCAGAGGAAAAAAACCCATCAAATATGGGGTGGGCAAAAGTAGTTTTACAGTTGTGACTATGGGAAACATAGAGTTTAGTCTTGTATTATTATTTATTAGTTATTGTATTATTTTCCATACAAACAACTGCAACCTACTTTTGCCCACCCTCCATTTATGCTTCCTGGGTGAGGAATAAAATCAATCTTCACAACTTTCTTAGATGATAATTTGTTCATAAGTAAACAATGGGTAGCTGATCAGAAATGTTATTTCCCTATGGAGGTGTAAAATAAGTGGTTCAAATGCCCTCTTACCTGCTTTTAGCTTAGTAACTCCTACGCCAACACTTTCCACAATTCCAGCACCTTCGTGCCCTAAGATCACTGGAAAACTGCCTTCAGGATCAGCCCCACTCAGGGTGTAGGCATCAGTGTGGCACACTGCAGTGGCAATAATCTATCAGGATATTCGAATAAAGAGCATTTCAGTGTGTGTGCATGCAACTCAGAGTGAGGCATCAAAGGAAAGGCCCTTTTATTTTAATATATTCCACTTGTTCCACTTGTTCCAAAATACTTTTCTTTCACACTTTAACCTCTCTAAAACCAGTATATGCTTACAAATAGATGACATCTTAACAACTAGAATTGGCAGGCTTTTCTTCGTAGTACATTATAGTGTATTTATATTCAATAACAGATGGCACATCTATTCTCCTTTTCAGTGCATATTAGCAAGACAAAGCAAATAAGGTGAAGAGGAAGAGCATCTGTGTGCGAAGCCATTTCACCGCTGGGCTCTTCAGGCCTGTTGGGAAATGGTATTTCTACAAAGCTATGGATTATTTCTGAAATATGCCAGCCTGCTTGGTCTGCACTAAAACTCAGCTTTTAGTGGAACCAACTCCCTTTTAGCACACAAACAAATTTGTTTAAGTAAGTCCTTTATCCCTATCTCTTTTAATAATGTTATATTTCCAAACTACCAAAAAACACAAAGAGAAAGTCTTAGAATGTACTTACACTCCTCTGCTTCTCGCTTACATACCCACTTACAATGTAACATTATTTGCTATTTATTGGCAGTCCCAGGAAAGGCAGCTGAACTCAGTGTACCCCAAACAATACATTCAGGACAAAACATTTTCTTTTTCAGGGGCAAAATCACAATCAGGTTAGTTTCTGAATTTAACTACTAAAATATTTCAGATTTCTGGGTTTGGGTTGAAAAGGATCTTGAAAAGTTATTTGTGCTTCTTGACCTGATATGTGGGATCCCTGGGAGCATGAGTCAATATGTGTTTATGTGCTGTGTGTTTGGAAGTAGGACCAGGAACATTTACTCCAGTTTATAGCAAAAAAAAAAAAAAAAAAAAAAAAAGCTGATTTTTTTAGGATGTTAGTTTTATTTAATGATCACTATTTTATTTTTTAAAAATATTTTTATTGATTTTTTTTTTTTTTTTTTTTTTTTTTAGAGGGAGAGGAAGAGAGAAACACTGATGTGAAAGTCTAATATCGATCACACTCCCTACTGGGGATCAAGCTGGAAACCTGGGCATGTACCCTGATTGGGAATTGAACTGGTGACCTCCTGTGCATGGGATGATGCCCAACCAACCAAGCCACGTGGGCCAGGGCAAAGGTCACTACCTTAAACCATTAATTTTACATCAAAACAAAGAGAAGAATGCTAAGAACACCCAGCTGGTGGCTTTGTGAACTATGCCTTTCTCCTGGGATAGCTTCATTAAGCACTGGAATAATAAATGCATCCCTTGAACTCGGGCCCTGTCTGCAAGGGTCAGTATTTAAAGCTCTCTAATCAAGATGACTTTACTTGGTTGTTGCTTCAGTTGATCAGGAGCCTCTTCCCAAATCTTATTTGAAGTTTCACCTAACAAAACTAAAGGCCACTTCTTTTTCTTTTGTTTCTAATGTGTCACCATACATTTTAAGTTATGGGGTCAGCAGAAAGGGGAACATCTGGCAAAGTCACCTTAAACTTAGGCTACAGAAATAAACTGCAGTCATCCAGTGACCCCTGGAGCAGGCTGCTCAGCCCACCATCAAAACTACAAGATGGGAGGAGTGCAAAGGAGGATCAAATAAGAGGAGGATGTTGTGATTCTGTGGTTGGAAGACTACCAATACCTGTTCTCAACACTCTCCTTTGGGATTTATCCTTTGCAGCACTCAGGAGTATTAATCTATCCAGAGACCTAATTGTAAGTCATCTTTTCCACTGCCTTAGATGTAACATTACCTTAATTCGAACTTCATGAGCCTTTGGCGGTGCCACCTCTACCTCCTCAATGGAGAGAGGCTTCCCGGCCTCCCAGGCAACAGCTGCCTTGCACTTGATCACCTGAAATAGGGAAAAAAAAAAGAGCAAGTTGTTTATTCACCTGAATGAATAATGAACTGTTTATTAGTTAATTTAGATATTGATGAATGCTAATCTTAGGAAGTACTAGTATATCAAAGATTCACAAAGAAACATGCAATGCCCTAGCCGGTTTGGCTCAGTGAATAGAGCATTGGCCTTTGGACTGAAGGGTCCTGGGTTCGATTCCCGGGGTCAGGGCACATGCCTGGGTGGCGGACTCGATCCCTGGTAGGGGGTGTGCAGGAGGCAGCTGATAAATGACTATCTCTCATCATTGATGTTTCTATCTCTCCCTCCCTCTCCCTTCCTCTCTGAAATCAATAAAAATATATTAATAAAAGAAAAAGAAACATGTACTTCTAAGTGATACAGAGAATTGTTCTGTTTTTTAGATTTTGTATAAGTAAGTAATATTCATTAAAATATTTAACTTAGATGACCTTTGGTCAGATATAAAAGCCTCTTCTGGTTGAAAAGTTTTATTCACGGAATACTTACTGATATTCTACAGAAGCAGGCTAAGAATACAGGTCTAAGAGAATCTGATTCAGTAGGTCTGGCATAGGACCCAAGGAATCTGAATGTTTAACACGTACGGTGACATTCTTTTGTTCAGGTTGGTGTAACACTGCTGTAATACAAAACCATAGGATGGGAAGGAATGTACCAGTAAGGAGTACCAGAATGGGGGAAATTTAGAAAACCATTCCTATCACCCTGGTGTGACTCAGCTGGTTGGAGCACTGTCCTGTACACCAAAAGGTGGCAGGTTGATTCCCCATCAGGGCACACATCCAGGTGGTTCTACCATTGAGCAACACCAGCCGGTCAGGCTATTCCTATCCATTTTAAAAGTACTATCCAGTACATTATTCACTTGCCACCTGTGGCTACTGAGCACTTGAAAAGTGGCCAGTCTGAACTGAGTTAAGCTGTAAGATTTTGAAGACTTAGTACAAAAAAAATACTTCAATAATATTTTAAAAACAGTGATTACATGCTGAGATAGTATTTTCAATATGTTGGATAAAATATGAACATGATTTTAATGTTTTTTGATATGACTAATAGAAAAGTTAAAATTACATACTATGCCAATTGTATTATATTTCTATAGCATAATGTTGCCCTAGAGATTCCAGTACACCCTTCCGTTACCGGAGAATCAGATGTAACAGGGAAGATTTCGATCAGTTACATAATGGTTATGAAACAAGTTGGCAGGATAAAGGTTGAAAGCCACTGGGTTTATAGGAGACAGACTGGAAAGTCAATAATTACAAAAAGTGTGATTTAAAGGGAGAGGCACAAAGGGCTACAGAATTAAAAAAGTGGAGAGTGTGCCGAAACTGGTTTGGCTCAGTGGATAGAGCGCCGGCCTGCGGACTAAGGGGTCCCAGGTTCGATTCCGGTCAAGGGCATGTACCTTGGTTGCGGGAACATCCCCAGTAAAGGGTGTGTATGAGGCAGCTGGTAGATGTTTCTCCCTCATCGATGTTTCTAGCTCTCTGTCCCTCTCCTTTCCTCTCTGTAAAAAATTAATAAAATAACTTTGGCAGTGAGTTTGAGAACCATCACTTTTAACCGGGATACTGAGGAGAAGAGTTACAAATGGTGATAAAACACCTACAATCCGGGTAATTGTGAAGGGTGAATGAGAATGAATATGAAGTTCCTAATACAGTCTTTGGCACAGGGTAGCTTGGCAAAAATAATTTAGTAGTTATTAGTAGCAGTGAAACTGGAGGGGAGAGGAGAGTTAAACTGTATATAGAGACTAGAGGCCCCATGCATGTGCAAGGGGCTTGGCACCCCCCCCCCCCCCCCCCGCCTCCTGCCCCCCCCTAACACTGGTCGATCTGGAAGGTCGTCCTGGAAGGTAGTTCAGCAGTCTGTTCTAATTAACATATTAGCTCTTTATTATACAGGATTATATAGGGCACATGTGTCAAACACAAGGCCCTCGGGCCAAATCCGTCCCGCCAGGCCTTGCAATGTGGCCCGCACCGCGCTGTCATCACTGCACTCCGCTGCGTTTCCATCACAATGACAGTTTATGACTGTTCAGTAAACCATTCGGCCCGCGATTTAGGCTGGATTTTAGATTTTGGCCCCTTCTCTGATTGAGTTCGACACCCCTAATATAGGATGAAACTTGTGTAAGTTGGTGAGGTGATAAATTTTGCTTTTAAAGTTAAAATGTAGATATTAAATCTGATGGTAAAAAAAAAAAAAATAAATAAATCCAGACACTGCACTGGAATCCTTTTCACCTCCATGTACCCTAAACCTCAAAGGTCAAATTCAGAATAGTATCAATGAAGTCATATTGTACACTAGAGATGTGAAGCAACAAGAATAGCTCATCCATAAGTTTTATTCTACCCCTACCCCCGCCACTTTTGAAGAATGTTTTAGAGGAGTTTCAACTCTTCCTTTCAGTGACACTTCTAATCGAAACAAAGCCCCACTCTAAATCACGGGCAACTGCCTCACTTCAACACCTGAACTGTAATAGGAATTATAATTTTGCACCTGCAAGTATGATCCTGGGCAAGTCACAGTAAGTCCTGGATAGGCTCTGCAACTTAAGGCAAAGCGACGTTTTAGGAATCTAATCCTACCTTATGCTAATTAATACAAAGCAGAGTGAAGCTCCTACGGCATCTGATCACCTTTACGAACGAAATAACCGTGAACAAAAGAACATGCTGTACCCTTTGCACAGGCAAGGCGTGGCCCGTGAGCCATTTCACCGGGATGTAAACCGACCACCCTGGTCCCCCTCCCCCCCGTTCTCCGCGCTCCAGCTGCCCAGAAGCGCAAAACCCTCCCGAGTGAGGAGGCGAAACAAAGCTTCCTTCCCGCTGAACCGTCCCTCCGAGGCCCCGTTCCGGCTCCGGTGCCCAGCGGCCCGGTTCCAGGCGACGCTCCCCGTCCCCGGCATCCCCGGACTCGGGCCCGCGGCAGGCCCTACGCTACCTGGTTCGCCATGCCCTCGGGAGCCGGTCAGCGCGCGTGGGCATCCGGGGCGGGCCAAGCAGTCGGGATGTGGGCGGGGCGTGTGCCGGACGCGTGGGGCGTGGCGAGGCGTGGGTGGGGCTTGCGCGGTACAGCTGGGACGTAGGTGGGGCGCGTGCCGGACGCAGGGGGCGGGGCGGGGCGGGACGTGGGTGGGGCTTGCGTTCAGCGTAGTCCCGCCTCCTCCGGTGCCGGGGGGCGGGGCGGGGCGTGGGGCGGGGGTTGCGGCGCCGGGCGCACTCTGGCGGTAACGGGAGGTCTTGCCCCGGAGGCCGGCAGGGTGTGGGCGAAGCTGGGTTAGCGGCGGTGTCCTGGCTGTGCTCACGCCTGACCGCAAACCGGTCTGTGCCAGGAAGGGGTTTCCTCGTGTAACTGTAGCCGAGGCAGCGCAGATCAGTCTCACAAGGGAGAGAGGTGGAAGGTGAGGGGCCAGGAGTTTCACCGGAGGCACGTGAGGAACCGGGAGAGTCTGGTGCTCCCGGTACTTCGTGTGCGCTGCTATGTGTTGAGGATGCAAGATGAGTAAGATAAAGCCCTTCAAGATTCTCCAGCGAGAGGGGAAACTGAGCGGGAGAATGAGAAAAGGGACACCAAGAACGGGGGAACCCATTCAGGGAAACGTCCTAGGCTCCTATTCCAGCTGCCCCGGACATAAAATATATTTTTAAAAATTATAGACAGGAATTACTAGTAGATTTGTACATCCTATGAGAAGGATAAAATTGTTATAAAGTGAAAGTAGAGACTCTCAGTCCCTTTAGAGACTTTGCTAGTGTGGACTATATTGGAAATAACCTGACGAGGCCGGAGGCAGGTATTTTACAAATACACCTTACAAAATGAGCAGCATAGCAGCTTCAAATACAGAAGTGTGGGAGAACCTCAAACGCCAGGTATCGTTTGGAAGCAAGCTCTTTGTTAAATTCTTGACCTACCTTTCTCCATTTCAGCTAGCAGAAGACAGGAAACAATGAGAGACAGTGCTAACTTTTACTTAATTCTGACTCCTAAGAAAATAGGTCAGTATATTTTGAACTGACAGACTTATTAGGTGAAAGTGTGACCTGTCATTTTGGACTTTCTAACAGGCAAGAAAGTGTACAGTTGTCATAGTTAAGCAGATTTCAATAAAGTTGAAGCATATTTCTTAGTGCTCACAAGAAAGATAAATACTGAGCGAATTGAAGGGAGGAATTCATAAAGCCATAAATGTCTGCTACGTTTTGAAGGGAACTTCCCCTCCCCCTAGCTCTAGTAGGCATTGTTTGAGTACATACTTCCTTAGGGAGGCAAAGATAGCCCTTGCTGTAGCCCCCATGAATTGGAGCAGAAAACTGTCTGAACTGAAGAAAGCCCCGATGGGTTGAACAGGAGGGAGCCAGAAGTGGTTGGTACTAATTCTGTTCAATACAGAGGTTCCAAAGCTACCCATCAAATCCTTTCTCTCTCATACCCTTGGCATACAGAGAAGGTGGCCATCTAATTTGCAGCTGCAGATCCAAATTGTGTTGTGCAGTTTTTTTCCTGTTACTTTTTCAAAATAAACACATATTATAGAATTGGGAGTCAGAGACTCCCAATGATCCTCCAATTCACTTCTATAATCCTAAAGAAGTGAATTGTCCTTGTATTTTTTGTAGCCAATAACATATTGTGAGTTATCCATTCTTTTTAAAAAAAATATATATTTTATTGATTTTGTACAGAGAGGAAGGGAGAGAGATAGAGAGCTAGAAACATCGATGAGAGAGAGTCATCGATCAGCTGCCTCTTGCACACCCCCTACTGAGGATATGCCCGCAACCAAGGTACATGCCCTTGACCGGAATGGAACCCAGGACCTTTCAGTCCCCAAGCCGACACTCTATCCACTGAGCCAAACCGGTTTCGGCATGAGTTATCCATTCTTGTAAATAACCTAAGCATATCTTTTCCTAACAGGGACCCTGGAACCTCTGGAAAACCTGACAGGATGGAGAAGAGCAAGGTATTATTCCATGATTAAATTTAACAGGAAATTCAAAGATGACTTTTCATACTGCCTCAGTTTTGCCTAAAAATTCTAAGGCCAAGCAACATGGGTACCAAAATTGCCCCTACATTCTAAGGCCAGATACTGGATTACTTAATGTAGGACACAGAACCTTTCAACTGCCAGTATTAGCTCTTCTATTTGTAGGGGAGGGCAAAGGATTTGTGGCGAAGGGCAGAAATGGTCAGGAGGGAAGGTCTCTTTGGACAGAGTTGTCCACGTGTTGGATGTGCTCTTTCCACCTCCTGGTGAAGATGAGGGAAGCACTCCCCCTCATCCGAAGCCAAGAGAAGAAAACCACTCAAAAAGCTTCAGATCTTTTCTCTGGAAGCTGGAGGTCTCAAGGTCTGGTATCTGAAACAAAGAACTGTATGGCCAGAGGCACGCAGAACAGCCTGTCTGGGAATAGAATGAAGCAGAGCAGGGTTTAGTGGGGACAAGGACACAAGTGTATTTTCCATGGACCAAATGTGAACCCTGCACAGGGATACAGTTTTAGATAATCTTAAAGGGAGCTTTACCAAGAGATCTACCTGGAGAGGTAAGGTGACTGGTGAAAGCCCAGGGCTGAAGCCAGAGTCTTATTGCCCATTGTGGAAAGGATCATCCCAATAGAGAAATTGGAGGTAGGGGATTCCTAATGCGGCAGAGGGTTCTTCGTGAAACTTACAGAAATCCCCCAAATCACGAAGAACTCCAGTATTTCAAAGATGCTACACCCAAAGAACATCAATATCTGATTGCAACAGTACTGGTCATGTGAAGTGTAGTCTTTTTCTCTAAATTTCCTTTCCCTTCTAGGCTGGGCAATGGAAGGGGTATGAAGCAGTAGCTGGCAAAGAGTGGGAGAGATGGAGAACGGGAGGGAGAATAAGCAACACTGTCCTTCCTTCCTTCCTGCAGATTTAATTTCCTGGGGCAGCAATGGCAGCTATGCCAGCGGTGGTGTCCTATGCCCAGAGGTGGGATTGGTGGTTCAGTCTGCAGCATCTGAGGCCTGAGGGCCAGCAAAAAGGTGCCAAATCATTCGCTGCAAGGTTTAGACATAATAGCAAGCTGTTTATTTCTGAAAGTATTTTCTAGTCCTCCTGGTAACTCTATGAGCTACCCAATATCCTTTTAACACATTCTTTATTATTTTAAAGAATTAATTTAAACTAATTAGCAAGAATTGATTTCTATGACTACCAGGGGAATGGGTCAGTCTGGAATGAATTACCTGCCCTGGTTGAGGGTGAAAGCAGTGAACATTCAGTTGACTCCTAGCAGAGTATCTCCGGGCATTTAGGGGTGGAACAGTTAATAAAAAGTCAACTCTGATTTCCTGGCATGAAAATTACTGAAGGCAAAGTTTGGGGGACTACAAGGTTTTTCCACAAGCAGAGTATAAAGTGCATATTTCATTCAAAGCCTGTGGGGGTAGATGTTTGCTTCTAAAAGGGCTGGACAGTTAAATGAAAGAGAATGGTGAATTCTGCAGCTCAGTGATGCCCGCGCTCTAGTTCAGCTGCTCTGCCACCCTCTTGTCTTTCTCATCATAGTTGCAAGAGGGCACCTGAAGCTCCAGGCTGTCATATCCTTACATGACAACATGCAGAGACAAGAAGGAAGGGATCTTCTCATTATCCTCCTCCACGTTTTTTTTTGTTTTTTGTTTTTTTTTTAACTAAGAGGGAAATCACTCCCTCACTCCCTCTTCCTCAGGCAGACCCCCGCTAATGTCTCACTCACCAGAATGGAGTCAGATGTCAATCCCAAATCAGTCCCTAGCAAAGGGGAATGGGATTAGACTAATCATGGTGTGATTTATGGAGCTGAGGGAGAGTACCACCTACGCTGGGCTCATTATTGAGCATTACGTGGCTAAAATCGGAGTCTGTGTGTAAGGGAGAAGTGAGGACCAGCTAATGAGTAGGAAACCAGCACGGGCAACACCATCTCTGGGCAGCTTTCACTGGTGCATAGTGTGACCTAAAAAATCGGCTTTGAATAGAACCTAGAGCAAGAGAAGTCCACCTGGTCTCAATTGCTGTGAGAACTACTCTGATAATTTCCTTTTATGGGCTGGATGGTTTTTAAGTGTCCATGGCAGAATGTTCTATGGAGCCTGATGTAAGCTCCAATACTAGAATCATGGAAAACATAAAGTTTTAGAGCAAGCCATGCTCGCTTCATTCTTGGTTTTGATTAAAAATGTCTGGGCATGCCAGGCTCAGTTGTTTGAGTGTTGTCCCATGCACCAAAAAGTCACTGGTTCAATTTCAAGTTAGGGCACAAGCCCAGGTTGTGAGTTCAGTTCCTGGTCAGGGTACCTATCAGAGGCAACCGATTGATGTTTCTCTCTCTCTCTCTCTCTGTCTCTCTCTCTCTCTGTCTCTCTCTCTCTCTCTCTCTCTCTCTCTCTCTCAAATAAAAACACATTTTTAAGAAATGTCTGGGGATGACATACTAGATAATTATGCTATCAGAGTTTCTCACCATGAACTGGGTATTATTGGATCCACAGAATTATAAGGCTCGATATGCCCAGGAGGATAGCATTATCAAGTGGAAGTAATAGATGTGGAAGAAGATTCTGAAGGCACAGTAAATTCTTGAGCAATCGACTCATATTCCTACTGCACTTCCACCCTTCAGAGACATTTCCTATGATCCATTCGTAGAGGAGGAAGAGAATTTCAGATTGGTTTATAGAGCTCTACATAATATTCTAGCAGTTGTGCCCAGCTGGTGTGGCTTAATGGTTGAGCATCGGCCAATGAACCAAGAGGTTACAGTTCGATTCTTGGTCATGGGACATGCCTGGGTTGTGGGTTTAATCCCCAGTAGAGGGTGTGCAGGAGGCAGCTGTTTCTCTCTCATCAATATTTCTATCTCTCAATGCCTCTCCCTTCCTCTCTCTCTAAAAATCAATAAAAACATATTAAAAACCATATTCTGGCAGTTGGTGGGGGTAGACTTGAAAAATCCTGCCAGGGTACAGAACGTTAAGCATAACATCTCTTTGAACCCTCTTTGACAGGAATGAAATGCTCTGAAATATGGACCTACATTGA